AATGTGAAGTGCACAAAAGGGAATGGCGTGAAATATATAGTGAAGTAGCCTACCTCTATCTGTTAAAACTCGAGCCACCGAACTCAGCACATCATCGACAGTCCTCAAAGCGTCGTCAGAAGGGCTCCATGTGCTCTTCAAAGAACACAATACACAAAAAAATTACGATTATACCGAAAGATTACCGGAAATGAGCACCTTTTCCTTAACGAGTAAGGCTTCTATAGTAGCCTTTTCCAGAACTATGTCAAAGGACGCTGACGGAACCTTGTCTAACGATCGAATATCGTCACAGATCCATTCCATTTCTGGATGAGCAATGCGACCAGCATCAACCAATACCTTTGATATAATGCACATTATTTGGAGTCCAGTAACTATAGTTTTAGTAAAGTATCGTAGCAAAGGGTCGTGGGAAGGGAGGAGGGGAACTGTCAGGAAAGGCGGGATGAATCCGCCTCTAGCTCTATTTTCCACCAGTTCTCTCTAACCGATGAAAATTAAAAAGGATAACGATGGCAATTTCGAATCTACCTGAGAAAAGTCCACATTTGTAATATTCGTGAAGCCCATCTCATAAAGTTGCATAGACATTTGACTTGTACCACATCCAATGTGCAGAATTCTGGATATATTACATTAATGCGGACTGTGCCAAAAAAGTAAAGTCGGTTTCTTTTCACGAAAAGGGTCCTTTCATTGTCTTTATGCCACTGGACTGGGAATTACCTGGATCGTCATACTCAAGTGATAACGAGCGATCTTGTCATACCTACGTTGCACACGTAAAAAAAGCCGCAGTATCGCACACAAAGATCCCACCGTTCACATTTTGGACGGCAAAGAAACCATCTGATAGCTCGACGGACCCGCTTAGTGATGAGCAGCGATGGGATCCTATTAGGTTGTTGAGAGGGGGTTTCTCTTGAAAGAGTTCTCTTTTGAGAAAAATATTCCCTGATGTTGGCTTTTCTCCAAAAAAATAGGTGGATGATGGATGGTGAGGGATGGAGAGAGGATCGTACTAGAGGAGAAAATTTTGAAGGGAGGGACCACATTTTGCAAAAACTCCCCAGCAGGAAGTGCCCTCGATATGACCTATGTAGACTTGCACGGGTCAGTCAATGAACAGACCAGTGAGTTTATTCGTTCAGTCGTCCGATTCACCGGTCACACATGGATCGGAACCAAAGGTTAGTTGATCCGGGCGGGAGCAGATCCGAATTTCACCCCCACAGGGCGCACTTGGTAAAAGGTGCCACTACACCACCTTCGCTCATAGGGTAATTCATACGGTTGTGTAACTATTAGAACAAGAATCTGATGTGAATACTGAACAAACGGTTTGGCTAAACAATACCTAGATTCTGGAGATAATTTCGGTACAATCAGATGTTTAAAGGCATCAAAATTTGCCAACCATTCAAACTGCTTCTCATCAGCAAAGCGTTCGTCCCAATAGTCCCTATTGGCGTATTGGTGATTATTCTCCATACCTTAAACTCATTACCATATCAAAAATTACTCAAGTGATTTCTCAGGTAGGTCACTATACGGAATTAAAGGCACGTATAATCTCAGGTATGTCACCATACGGAATTAAAGGCACGTTCCGCGCTTATTTGATGTTCAGATGCTTTCCATGGACAAGGTAGCCCTATCCGCAAGCATAGAGGATGCACTTTGGACTTTTGCAGCTCAAAAAGAAGCCGCAACTCGCACGTGACGAAGCCACCACCCCGCCCACCGCCCATTGCAACGTCCTAGCTAAAGGTTCCTGGTGAAGCTGTCGTTCTGCAATATTTCAGTTTATGAGAGTGAGGCGACAACGGTAAAGAGCTGATACCAGCAAGTGAGAACTAGTCCGACCGCGCCCTTTCTTCGACAAGCGCGGTTC